TGGGAAAATGTCTGTCATGGTTTCATTTGCTTCAGGTGTTCTGCACCAAAATGCCCTGCTACACTTTTGGCTAGACTTTGTATACTCAGTGGCTGGTAGCTAAGCCATAGGCTCATAACCTCGTTATGTTTTTATGAATTATAGATATGCATCACTTTTTACATAAATATTTATTATATTTCTATAGTGTCAAGTTTCAGTGCCTATAGGTATGATACAATGACATCCGCGAAGTTAAAACGGCTGTACGACGAGCTCCATCAAGTGGAAGCAGGGACACATCCGAAATATGTTGAAAGGCTGAAGCAAATCGAAGAGCTCTATGAAGAACAAAAGGAACGCGAGCAGATAGCTCACGAGGTATGCCAATGACTAGCAGTCTTGTTTGCGAATTCACTTTACTCGCCAGTTTGTCCATTCTTGTTGAATCTCACAATAACTTGACCCTAACGTATTGAAGGTGGGAGGGAGGGGGGAACAGGAGCATGCAGCGGTGGCTACTCGCCTGTTCCCCTCCCATCATGCCAGACGAGATTACAGATTGGTAATTTAGGTCTTTGGAGAGAAGAGGTCGTATTTCACCTGAGAAGTTCTCTTCGTAGTCGATTCCTTCTGCTTTTCGCATACACAACGTTGGGAAGCCCCTACTAGGACATATCGCATCTTATCGTCGCTTTGAGGGGGAAGGATCATATTCTACAAACATTCTCTCCAGCTGTAAATATGATGATTTATTACTTCTGCGTCAACGAGGTTTTTAGGTGGAACTTTATTACGGCCTAACGTTTCGACCAGATCGTCGTCCTCAGAGGCCTAAACGTAGCTCAAGATTTTTAATTTGCTCTCTACACCGCCAAACGCCTCGTCTCCCCAGCGTTTCCGACGGTACTTCCAGAAACACCGAAAAACCACCCGTAGGCACCAAGTCCACCGCGGCATGAGCGGATCAACGCCGCTCCACTAGATGTTAGTAAAGTAAGTGAGACTCACTGTGCCGTCCTTGTATAGCAGCTATCAGGACTTGCACGTCTCATAGCTTACATCATTAGCTCGCAATGTGGTGAAAACGGTAAGAGGTCATTTGTTATGGCTAAACACTCATTTCGGTTATTCATTCCAAGATTCCTTGCGGAATTCTCTCCAGCGACAGGAAGTGCTTGATTCTTGGTAATAAACCTCGCAGTAACTTGGCGCTCTCGCAAGAAAAGGGGGAGGAGGCAGGTGGTCACGCTACTGAGGCTACTCGTGTGAGTCTTGCCATCGAGACAGACAAGATTACAGGTTGCCAATATTTGGTATACCGTATCTATCAGGCGTGAAATAAAATGCGTCGATACGTCAAGCCGCGCAACATCATTCGCTTCGCACAGTTTGATGCGAAC